AGGCGAAGTGGAAGTGTCCCCCAGATCTTCACGATTTGAAGCTCTGAATGCAACTGTTATGGACAGGCGTGTAGCTTACCACCAATAGCACGTCTTGCTCGTCCCGTCACTTGGTATTATAAAAAAAAGGTTACGAAATTACTCCGACATTTGTGAACCAATTTCGATGATTCTTTTTTATTGGAAAAGGAGTACGCCAATCGCGATTCCATTTAAATTTGAAGAAAATATTTCACCTCTAAGGTTAGCAAATTAGATAGGATTAATCCATTACATCCACTCTCCATTAACCGATTTCAATAAAACTTGGCAAATAGAAGTCATTCCACAAAATTTCAAGGTCAGTTTTTTGTTTTATATAAGTTAGAACATGGTTAGAACTATTATTGTTAAATATTATTATTTCTACTTCGAAACTTATAAAGTAAAAAAGTAATGGGCTAGCCAAAAAATCCCTACGGTTTTTGCTAATAACCATCTTCAAACAAAAAATATTTTTTTTAATTGTAAAAGTTATATCGCCTATGGACGTTTTAGAATAATATTGTAGCGCGAATTTTAAGAATACGCGAGAAAGTTTATAATTCATACAAACCGCTGACAACTAGTGATCCGTAATGGTGTAGTATTTCATTATGTTCGTAAAGGTGTAGTATTTCATTATGATTATGCTCAACCAGACAGATACTTTAAAAAGCCGTCAAAATCTAGCAGTAGGTTGGGATGTGTTACCTCATCCATTGTAGTCGCCGGACAGCGGACGGAGTAGCTCCTTCACTTGTTTCGGTCTTCATAAAATTTTTTGAATAGACACGACTTTGATAACAAAGAGACTATCAAATGTCACTTAGAGCTGTATATTTTGATTTTTTTTTTAATCCTCTAAGATATTTTCATAAGTAAAGACAGATTTACGGTAAAAACAAAACCCTAATGATAAAAAAAGAACAATCGAGAAAACTGTCCACTTATAAAATTTTCTTACAACAAATAACTAATTACAGAGTGAATCCGTTTCATATTAAAATATATTCATATTGCTTGCCCCAATGACTTTTTTTGACAAATAAAAACTCCAACGTATTTTGAACATTGCAAAATCGAGGAACAATTATATTAAACCTTCTATTCACTGTTCATAATTCTCTATTTCTAATGCTAATTGAATACAAAGGAATATATAGAATAGTTGATCCACTCAATAAGTAGACTTGTTAATATTCAATGATTACAAACTCGACGTGGTCTTTACAATAGCTGTACGGGTAATCTGCAGAGATTATGGAGATGGAGAGAAGAATAGAGTACAGGATTATATTATAATAGCCCGCAACCTCGTAAAGGAGTCAGCACACTCATTAACGGGAAATTGCCTTGAGCCGGTCAGACAGTTTTCCGCTCGGACTGCCAACGTGAAACATGCATTTTTTCTCTCTAATTACGTGCACGTAAAACTTTATTAAAAAGTATGGTGACTCCCTTAGAGCGATACCACACAATAGAGAGCCTTGAACAGACACTCTTTCGCGCGTGATACAGGAATCCCGCGCGATTGAGCACGCGTATATGTTGGAAGGAAAAGGGAAAGACTGCGCGATTGCACTCGTCAGTCACGCGCGCAATCGTACGTTACAAGGTTAAAACGGACAAAACGGACGAGCGTTCGTATAATAAAAATGAGCACGAGAAAGATCGTTAGCTTAAAAAACTTTCAAACAGCTAATTGGGCACGATTGCACATGCAGGCTTTCCCACACGCAATCCTGTACACTCTTGATCACGCGCGATGGAGTGAGTGTGTATAGGGGCTAAATGCATTGCGTCGGCACGCCACACCACCGCAAGCAAATTAATACGTTGAAATCATATCGTTGGTTGTGACGTGTGTGAGGTATGTGTTATACCTATATGTGTGTGGCATCACTTACACGGCATCTAGTAGTGCAGGTTTCTAAATAAATAATAAAACCTATGGAAACTTTACATTCCATTTTTTTGCTGCTTCCGTGTCTGGACAGTTACCATGCCACGCAGAGGTCCCGGGTTCGATTCCCGGGCCGGAAGAAATATTTGTATGGCCTACATTTACTTCTATCGTGAGTTTGGGTGCCATTTATGGTTGTCTATGTTGTGGCCATGGCACCCACGGTACAGGGTTTCACTAGTGGGACTATGAGTGTGTGTGTTATTTTTATTATTGCGTTATTAATATTTTTTAAAGTTGTTCGTGTTTTTAGAAAGTCGTTCAATAAATACTCTATACTAATAATAAATACTAAATAATGCTTCGAACACCAGGGGATAACTAACAGAGAAAGGTATTCACGGTGATTAAGTATCTACATCAAACGGTATCATTAATGATCAATCAATTAGTACCAAGAGCAACACCGTTGGCAGTAGCAACAATTATGTAACTTTTAAAATAGAACCTTTTTAGCTTTGTTTATTTTACGACGTCGCGCCGGTAAAACGACCCCTTATCTTAATTAAATATCTCAATAACTTTTACTTAATTTTGTTGGAAATGTAACGATTCAATACACAAATATTTTTTTAGGAACATTCAATTCATTTAAATGGAAAATAACATCAGTTTTATAAACCGCGCCAACACATACAAGCCGCGCTGGAGTGACCGTACTTATCTTATTATACCCTGTACCCTGTATTTAGTCTCAATATTATCTGACTGTTTAAGTTCATCCAACTTTCAGGTTGTGTGGAGGGGTTTGAAAGAGGTCAATATTCTGTCTCCTCTGTCTCTCGGCTGCGAATTTTGTTGACTATTTTTATAGCATGCTAGGACAACAAATATAATAATAATAATAACACCAACTGGCGGCCGGTTTTCAGTAGTGAAGTGATACTACTATACTAATTAGTAGTATAAGCGCGTTTGCCAACCGCATCCGATTCGTATTGGTTCCGAATCCGAGACAATAAAAAATCTAGAAAACTCGGACCCACTTCGGATATCGCTTGTGTAGGTACTAAGTCCTATTTGAATCCGAGAAAAAATTAATATCGCTTGTAGATCTAGAGATAAAATGATCCATGTGCCATTTCGGACCCTCTATTCTCGAATTCGGAACTGGGGGTCTACTCTCGATCTCCGTCTGACATACGTCCGAAACTGTTACTGCCAAATAAGCAATACTTGGCCAAATGAAAAGACGCGTGATGCAAATGAAGCTTCATACTGGATACTTGTCTTTTAATTTTGTCGAATATTACTTATTTGACAGAAATTGTTTCGGACGGATGTCGAACGGAGATCGAGAGTAGACCCCTTGATACGAATCGGACGTAGTGCGCAAACGCTCTAAGGGTGTATTTTCACCGGCGAGGCGAGGCGAGATGAGGCGAGAGAATTTTTAAAACTTGTATGACAAAGTATCAATTCTTTCCTAGAGCATCTTCGGTGGAAATGGTCGTGATTGACGAGGATGGGCGAGACGAGATTTGAAATATTTGTAGATGTAACATTGAACCGTATTGCTGCCTACATAGACTCTTTATTAACTCTGCAATGGAAACACGATAAAATCAAAAATAAAATAACGATGTCTCGTAATACAACGCGCAAGCTCGCGCGCGCTCGTGCGTGCTCGCGCGTGCTCGCGATGGCTATTGACGTCAATTGCGAGATTGTGGGAAACAGTCGCATGCATTGAAGTGTGTTTACATTTCAATGCAACGTGTTTTAAAATGTGTTTACACATTTTCGATATTATGTAAATATTAGATATTTCAAAAAATGTAGTTATATGATGATGGTACCCTAAAATCCGATATGTCGCAAGATGGTGCAATAGTTAACATGAATCGTAAAAACTTTGGAATGTTGCAAAAATCACGTATGTGTAATTACTTAGAATTACTCAGGCAGTAAAATCACACCACGACTCATTAAGGTTATAATTTATAACATTTTTTACGACTTCTTATCGAAAAACCGAGAACTGCGTTACAAAGTAACCAGCGCAATATTCCATTGTTCGATCCCTTATTATATAAGGACTGGAGCTGCGACTCCAGACAATACGATTGCTAACATCCGATTACTGAACATTCAATTGCTCGACACTTTCCAGTCTGTTGGACCGTTGTCGTATAAGTTCTTTATATAAATATAGTTTTGTCTTAATTGAAAAAAGTATTTAAATTTAGTGAATCCTTCTCCAAAACGTAACTACAGTAGTGAAAGGTTAATTCATATCTACGAACCTTACACTCTATCATCTCTGTAAGAAGAGGAGAATAACTGGCAAATTAATAAATATAACTATATATATATATATACTTTGTGCTGTTCATAAATATGTAATCACGCCACCTATATATACAATATAGTTGCAATATAATGTAAACATACCAGCGCCAGTTGTAAACTTTTTTATGTGTATTTTGCTAGTTCGTAATATGTGCCCTGGGATAAAAGATTATATAAAAAAAAATATTTTCGAAAAACTTCTTTTTAATTTTATTTATTATTTATTTATTTTATCTTAGAGGTACAAACAGCTTATATTACAACACGATTATTTCTTCTTACAGTATCTTCATCCGATTCATCTTCCGTTAAAATATTCAATAATAAGAATTTGCGGGACATAATACTTTAGCGGTGTGTTTATCGCTAGACGAATTGAATAGCACTGTGTCTCCACTACACGTAACTCTAGCGCGAGCTCGCGAGTGCTTGCGTGAGACGGCGCCTGCTCGCACGAACTTGCGATGGCAATTTTTGGTGGAAATAGGTCGGCCAGATTTCAATTCTCGCTTCGCCTCGTCTCGTCTCGCCTCGCCGGTGGAAAAGCACTTTAAGACTAACTAGACTAGACTAGAAAATTGATGGTCGAGTCACAGACATTGTTTGCTCTATACGCGGACTACCTTATTTCCTCACTCTTTATATCATGATTTACGACTTACAATAACAAAATTCTATCTAAACTACGTCTACCTAACATCAAAAAGTGAGCGTACCATTTTACCTTGTTCCCCTCAAGGCGCAGCGTCGTCGTGCCAGGAGGCAAAGTTGCCGGGGGCTCTTCCAACTGCTTCGATTTGCAATCCACAGTGATGATCGGTATGAGTCCTCCGTTGCGATCTGCTACCACGTTCGTCATTGCACATGAGCACGGATCCGGACACGTTCGGCGCAGTGTCTGTTAAAATGTTTACTATCTGAATCAACCCTTATTTCGATGGGTTCCTATCTATTTACTATTACTAGCTATCCTATTAGCTACACTAATTGCCTGGTCTCAATGTCTCTGTCTGGTGTTTTGAAAGAGATTAGTTTTCATCACACTACTGAAATAATATAGGTTGAAGGATATATCGAGTCATAGAAGAGTCAAAACATAATAAATAATGTGCCCTACAACCACACCAATTACATTGTTTTAAAAAGATAATTTCCCTTACTATAAGTAATTAATAGTAAACAATGAAGGGTTTGCCAGACGAAATACGAAAGTAGAATTAACGCAGTAGAAGTGAGCGCTTTGAGAAGTATGGCTAGGATGATAAGAGAGCGTTGCAGGTGAAAAAAGGTTACAAAGATAGAGATAGGGGTACTTAGGTTATAAATGGAAGAAGATTGACGAAACAGATATAAAAGGCGAATGTGAGCAGCAAATTGGTAAGGGCCGACCAAGACGAACTTACCATGACCAAATTGAAGACATCCTTTTTTTTTTTTTTGACAGAGGGGAATCTTTATGGATACCCCTGAGCCCAATGAGACTCAGGGGTTATGTGGGGACTCTCCCTCCAGACTGGAGGGCCTACCCCACTAAAACCCCTCCGGGTTTCCCTCTCGCCGGTTGAGTCGGCGCCGTGGGATCAGTGAACATTCACCACGACAAAAATTGAAGACATCCTAAAGAAAGGCCCAAGTCAAGAGTACCCTTAACCGATGCGTATGTATGAAATCATTTATACGAATTGATGAGGCGAAAGATGTGTGTCAGAACCGTAGCAAGTGAAAGGTTGTGGGATCTGCTTACCGAAAAAGGGAAAAAGGCCATAAAGTACATAATATATATATATATTTAGTACTTTTTATATATATACCGAAAAGGCCATAAAGTATAAGTATATATATATATATATATATATATATATATATATATATGTATTAATGTATTTTCATCACAATCGTGTCGATATTTTCGTGGCCGAGACGTAATGCGAGGGTCGTTGCGCGACGACGCGCTACTAAGTCACCATGCGTTGTACTTTGAAAAACAGGCCGCGACGCCGACGGGACGCTTTGACTCTGCGCCGCGCCGGTGTGAAATGAACCTAAATAATGCCTACTCACTCTCGACTTGAAAAGGTCGAAGTTATAGCGTTCGGGAAATAAATATACAGGCAGGGAATTCCACTCCATAGCCGTTCGCTTTATGTGGAAGCGAAACGCTTCGTGCGATTTCTTGGCATATCCCCAACATAGGGGGTGGAAACCCAACTTATGTCTTCTCTCCCGATGATGAAAAAGAGAAGGTGGAATTAAATCATGCAATTCCATTGCAACTATCCGTGATATTATAATCCTGCAGAATCCCGTCTTCGATATCAATAGGTACTTAATAGCTTCCTCTCGATGTCTTCCTTTTATTACTATATGATTGACACTTATATCATCTCTCCCGTATTAATAATCTTCAAAAATGTAAATAATAATACTGATTTATGTTATAGGTTATGGGCTGTACCGAGAGTCTAATTGTAACGAATTTTATTTGTGATTTCAAATTATGTCGGAGTATAACCGTACAGGGAGACGTTGTGGAAAATTGTCTCGTCACTAATTGTGTTAGGAATTATTTGATAATTGGTCTATACGTTCTTTGTTATCAATTCGTTAAGCCGGCGGTGAATAATAACGTTAAAATTAGTTAAATTTAGAGCCTATGGGTTTGTAAGTGTCACACCACCTGTCAAACTTCTTCTTTGCCGCCGAAAACTGACACTGACAACTCCATTCGGTATTACCTGCTCTAAAATAATAAAATCTATTTAGCGAATAAACTAAGTAGGCACTCGATACCACGATAGTCAGTAATCAACTTTTTTCAATAACTGCTGTTAAATAAAGAAATGTCTCGTGTACACGTAAACGTAAACATAATAATGATACTAAAAACATTCTTGTAAAATATGATGTTATTACCAGCTGAATTATATTTACGGGTGAGAAAGCCATTTATGCTCTCTCTAATCACGATTAGCAAATAATATAATGAAACTCAATTTCATACACGTGCGCAAAACTGACGAACTTGATTAACCATGTAGCAAACAGACACATATATTTTAACAAAAATGTAAACAGATCGTCACAAAATGAGCCAATCATACCTAAGCTGGTCATCATTCTGATGATACACAACTTTCACAAAATAAATATTTTAAATTTGAGAAAAAAATTACACCCGTAACAAATTTTCCCGAGTAGTTGGAAATTACTTAAATTGTATGGACCAGCGAGAAATGAGTGCCATATTCGTATTGAACATCCCCAAATATCTCGAAGGATACCCATATGGCATTTTTTGAAAAATCGTGTCCGCCATCTTGGATTTACAAATAAGTGCTATATTCGTAATGAGCACCCCCAAATATCTCGAAAATGATTCCCAACTTGCCATTATTCGAAAAATCGCGCCCGCCATCTTGAATTTAGAAAAGTGTGCCATATTCATAATAAGCATCCCCAAATACCTCGAAAAGGATACCCACATTGCATTTTTTTTTTAAATTGTGTCCGCCATCTTGGATTTAGAAATAAGTACTATATTCGTAATGAGCACGCCCATATACCCCGTAAACGATACCCAGAGTCAAAATCAAAATAATCTTTATTTCATAGGTAAGCATTATTACACTAGAAATCGTCACATTGGTTAAACTCTACCGCTCATTCGTAAGGCAGATGCCCCCGAGAAGTATGAGCAAGAAACTCTGGGGGTTGCTCTTTGTAAACAACATTTGTACGCATTTAACTTGCAGAAATGGAAGTCAAATGCACACTTACATTAGAATAAAAAAAAATCTGCAGCCGTCGCGATATTGCGTTTTCTCAAAAAATTACGTAATATAATTATTTTGAAACAGAATAGCAAAATTGGGAGAAAGAAGAGAAAGAAATCCGTTACTTTGCAACATTTTCGTGTCTTGTTGCAACGAAATTAATTTTCCGTTTTAGTGAATATTTATATAAAAATACAAGTTGAAACGCGTTACTTCCTTGTGGAATGTGATGTTAGTGTCCATTTTATGTTTGCCTGTTCTATTTTGACACCCATTTACCGCACATTTCGTCATTATTAGCAAAAATGTTTGAGCTGTTCGCGGTGCAATTTGACCTTGAGCACAGACAGCCCGCACGCTCGTGTAGGCCCTTTGGGAAGCCTCTAACTTGCCTCACTTAGCGTGTGCAGGCCAGGTTTCTATGCGTTATTATTCTAAGGGTGTTGGTATTTCTGCACAATTATCACTACAAGTAAACAAAAACTATGTGACTAAAGTTCGGGGTCATCAGACGAAATCACATGGTCTCATAGCTATTGATTCTATTTTTCGTTACGCTATTGGTTTTCGTCACATTGTCCTTTTTATAAAATGTATTATATATGTATATATTATATATATGTAATATAATATGTAATGATCTTGTTACTTCCGTTCCGTTTGCCTTCATTAAAGACACAGTATACACAACACAAGATACAACCTAGTCTTTCTAGAACACTTTCGGAATGATAAGATTCTGCTTATAGGTACTACATACTTCATATTACGGATTTCACTTATTTTTAGTTTGTGGCAAAAAGAACACAAAAATAAACAAGCTAAGTAATGCTAGCATATCATTATTTCACACATTTAAATTCATTCAAGTTTATTTGCAAACATTTCTAAATGCCTTGTAGTATTGTAAGTTATATAAATATTAGGTATAATCACAGACCAAATAAATACTAGTAATAGTCTAGCCGGTAAAATAATGAACTAATATTGATTGCGTTTCTGTACGCGCCTATGAAAACATATACAAATGAAAAAGCAATTTCGTACGTTTGTTTGAACATCATTAAGTTAACACAGCATACTTGGAACACTTTATGACCAAATTATACGTATAAAAGTACACACTTCGTGTACAATATCATGATGAGTGATAATGTAAGTACTCATATAAGGAATACAAAAACCGACTTATATCGTAGTTATATAGTACAATTGTGACTTATTAAATTGTGGTGCTGTAACAAATCACTTATTATACAAACACAAATTGGTTCCGTCGCACGCCGCCAGATGGCATTGGCGTCGATATCGCGAATTCTACATCGGGGTGTTAAGATTTTTTCCCTCGCGGAATGACCACTGTCGGCGGTTTGAAAATAATATAAGGAACCTACTACATACCTTGTGCGCATATAGTACTGCTTCCTTATCTGGAACAGCGCTTTAAATCGTACATAGCTAGATATAATCGTAGATGCCTATTGTACCCAGAATCACTTCTTATTTGGAACGGCGTATGGGACTTCCGTTACGTATAGCCAAGGTGCAGTCGTTTCCTATTGTACCTCAGACTGTTGTATTGTAATACCTGTTGTATCAAGCAATAAACTTGTACTATACGGAATAAGCTTGGTTGGAAAGTTTGAATTCCTCTGTCACCCGTACTACGCTTTACTACAGTGCTAATTTTGCCGACGACTTTTAGTATCTTTAATTGTTTTTAATGACCGTTGTTCAGTACTAGTTTTCCTTAAGTCGCGTTCAAATTAAACGTTCGTAGAAGCGCTGCAGTCGCGAGTCAGTCAGGTCAGTCACACGCGTTTCCGTTTTTTAACCGACTTCAAAAACAGAAGGAGGTTCTCAATTCGACTGTATTTTTTTTATGTATGTTACGAGATATCTCCGGCATTTGTGATTTTAATGATTATTTTTTTGTTAGAAAGAGGGTACCTCAGTAGTGAAGAAACTATTCCACCTCTAAGGGTGGCAAACTAGGGGATGAATCCGGTTTCACGCATTTTCCGATAACCGATTTCAATAACATTTGGCAAATAGATGTAATTCCAGGAACTTTTGAGGTCGGTTTGTTTATTTTAGAACAAGCATTACTTTTGCTTATTTGATGCTCAGAAGCAAAAGGTCGTGTAGGGGGTCGGAAAACTTACACATTTACAGTATGTGCAACATGCAACATACAAAAATGTACTCATCTGGTAGGGATCTGCTTTCAAATTTTTTTATTAATAATTATACCTAAATCGACCCATGCCTTTTTCTTTTCCAATTGGAATAACTAGCAGAACTGTTAAGTATCTACTTAACGTGACGCATGGTGATGTAGTGTGTGCGAGTGTTGGTTTTGATGTTATTTGGTGTTTTCAAGAATAAATTAATTCGTGAATAAATATTACGAATCAAAACTATATTAGTAAAAAATATCTAACACTGTGGCAAATCGAAACATCTTTCTTCTGTATGGCAAATCGAAATTACGAACATTACAAGCCGTTTCAAATCGAATGATAAAAACACAGGGCTTTTTTATGTACAAGTAAATTTACATGGGAAGACTCTGCACGTGATACTGAATATTCCCTATAGAACCCATGTCTTATTTATACATATAGTTACAAATAATACAAATATATCATAAATAACTCGTAAGACGGATTCCCCTGAGAAGAAGAAGGTTGCTCTTCGTAAATAGATGTTTACTCACATTTATCATATACAATGTTTATTTAAAATATCATTGGTGTACTAAGTACCATTTATTATATCAATTTCCTACCATTGCATAAGTTACTTGTTAAAACAATATGTTCCAATGTTTTCAATAACGTGCGGAGGTATTATAGTCAGCGATTTGTACGTCAAGGTGATTTCTAATGGAATGAGCGTACCTATAGATCCGGTACCTATCTGGAAAATTGGGACGGTGCTGTACGTGCACCTCACTCGAGGCATTTATTAGCCTTCTGAAAACCGGATGTCCGTGCAAACAGGCTTATTTAAGGTTTTTTTTTATAACATAAAGTGGCGGGACGAACAAGTCGTACGCTTGAAGGTGGGCTACACGCCTGTCCTTAACAGTTACAGTGCTACTCAGAGATCTGAAGGGCACTACCACTGCGTCCGTCACCCTGAGACATAAGTTGACAAATCCCATGTGCCTGTAATTTCACCAAAACCCTTACAATTCAAAACCGGAACACAGTAATGCTGACATTACTGCTTGGCGGCAGAAATAGGTAAGGTGGCAGTACTACCCTGGACGAACTCTTTCACAAGGAGCTCTACTGCTATTAAACCTGAACTGTTAGAACCTGACTTAGGTGGTCCCTGTGCGGGCTCGCTTGCACCGGTTATAGTGTCCTTTCCGCGTAACCAAGAGGTTGATAGGTCACTATAAACAAAACTTATGTAGCATCGTAGTTCCTAAACGGCTGGGCTGATTTAAAGCGGTTTTTTTTGGACGCTTATTTAATAAAAAAAAATAATTTAAGTAACTATCTCATATTTATTTAATTAAAAAAAAAGTGTTTGAAAAGGCAAATATTCACGATTTGGATCCAGAAAAATAGATTCATTTCCAATGTGTAGCGATCGCGAAAACCTGCGAATTCAATAATAACACATTTTTGTCAACAATTCTACCATACCAACCCTTTAACTTAGATTACAATACTAGGAAATAGCCTCAGGACTTTTGAAGTCAAATTATTATTTAGTAAAATCTTGAGTTATAGAGTAAATGATTGATGAGAATTGTTCGCTTTAAAGTCAAATTCAAAGTCAAAGTCAAGTCAAAGTCAAAGAATCATTTATTCCATAAGTAAAATAAATTTACACTCGAAAACGTCACATTTAAGCTACTGCTCGTTCACTACGCTGACATCCCTGAGAAGAACGAGCAAGATACTCCAGGGATTGCTCTTTTCAAATAAACTTATATGCTATGGAATACACTTCGAGTCAAATTTGTGTGGATTCTAGAGCCATATCGTCTTTACATACATCTTTATCTAACACGTAGTCTTCAATTTTGTAATATGACTTTTCAATAAAAATATTTTTAATGTACTTTTTAACTCAGGAAATGATAATCTTAATATATGCTCCGGAATCTTATTGTAAAAATGTATACAGTTCCCCATAAAAGAGTTGTTTACCTTGGTTAAACGAAATCGTGATACCATGAGTTTGGACTTAGCTCTAAGATTAATA